GACCCATGGCAATAGCTCAGCTTGACGATGTCAAGGTGAGCTAAAAATCACGCACCAAATTCACGGTGCTAACAACATTGAGCTTACACGGTGAAATCGCACAGCGTTATAGTATGATTCTGACCTGATCCCATTCCTAGACTGTCCATTCCAGCTAATCCTCCAAGAGCCCCCAGCCCAAACGGCGTCTGCCCAACGTCTGCCCTAGTTCCTCCAGCAGGGGCGCTGCTGGCTGGGCTGCCACCACCTGTGCTGCCACCTGCTGGCTGCTGGCTTACATTACTAGCCTGCTCCTGTGCCTGCAGGAAAAAACAATAACTGTAATCATCAAGTATGTGGGTATTCCAATGCCGCACGAGGCATCAGGTGAACATTACATTATTTTAATACTCCTGCAGGGATCTCATACTTTGGTCTGCATGAACAAATAGTAACTGCTTAGTATCTATTTTCATAACGTGCAACGATGGCACTGACTTTCCAAGTACATTTTTCTCTCTCAACAAAACAACAACCTAAGAAAATAACTAGTATTCTTACCTTGTTTGCAGATTTTATAACTAAGTGAACAGTCATTCCATCCTTGATGTCTACAAGGGAGACACAAATATAATATTAGTACGTGTACGGTACAATACTACAAACACTAATAACACAGTGAACAGTATATCAGATACATTTCTGGGAGCCATGCACACAACCACGCACACACGCACACACATACACACACCATAAACACCATACAGGTGCAACCGTGCAGACACACCATTTTATGACACCGTGTATAAAATGTATATCACAAACCACAAGCACATATCAGGGGTAGAATTTAACGTTTGAAACGACTCGCAATCTTTTTGCGAGTGGGTCAAATTTCAACTCGCAAAATCCGAAACACTTGCATTTTTAATATAATTATTTTTGTAGTGTATAATATGCTAACACTTCAATGAAAAATGTTATCTTTTTAGTTACTTTATAAATGTTATATAATGTTGAGACAACTTTATTAAACCAGGCTACAAAGCGTGAAGATAGAATACTCTCGGTAGCGGCCGATCGCGCAAGGTTTATAATCCTTACTCAGTTTGTAGACAGTACGTGTTTATAATTTTGCAGAAATTAGTTGGTCTAGTTCTGTTATGACTTATGTTGACAACTTGTTACTTTTAAAATGCCTGGATATGGGATGTTGGATTTTGATAGTCATCACAACAGATTATGTCACTCGCACAAAAATGCAAGTGCTTATAATTTCTACTTGCAATTTCGGAAATCCACTCACATTTTGCGAGTGTGCGAGCGTTAATTTCGAACCCTGTCATGTACATATGCACATAGATTATTATTAAATGTGTATGTAAGTAACATTATTCATGCCTCAAGCACAATAAAATTACTGTAAATAGCAATATTACTTTGCAAGGCTATCAGTAAATTAATAGATCACCTGACCAAACTAAATATATACTTACTGTGTTGAAGTAACGTATCCGCATCTTTTAATATCTTTCCGGCAAATATCAAACAAAGTTGCTCAATAGATGCACTGAATTTCGGTGAAATTAGTTCTTTTAACTAGAACAAAGTAAAAGTAATTTGTATTTGTGTGTGTGCGCACGCGTGAATCCATGTGTGTTTACGCGCGCGTGTGTGTATTTGTATGTGTGCGTGTTAAAAACACATAAAGAGCATATATACACGATGCCACTACACTAATGTTAATTTGCTAATCATGTTATGACTCAGCAATTCAACACTTTTTAGTTGTTTACGAGAAGCTATAAATCAGTAATGGGCACAGCTACATCAGGGTTCTGCCCACGGTGGGTGGCGGTGGG